TTTTTTAAAAATAAAATATGGCCGTGACTCAGGTGGAATACTTATTTGGCACAAAGACTATTTGAAACACTTGATAAAAATTGTTAAAATTGAAAATTCATCTATTTGGCTTGAAGTGAAATCAGTCATATCACAGCATAATCTTTACCTCTGTGCATTCTATATTCCACCTCATGACTCTCCCTATTACACAGAGCAAAGCTTTCTAAACTTACAGACGGACATCTTGCACTTCCAGTCAAGAGGACATATTCTCATATGGGGAGACTTAAATGCCAGGACCGGAAGAGAAATTGATTATGTAAATATTGTAGATAATAATCACATATCCAACGACACCACGTTTCATTCTTCATTAATTATCACACCAAGAAACAGCTATGATAGTTTAGTCAACACCAATGGAAAACAAGTGTTAAAGCTTTGTAAAGGTTTAGGGCTGTACATCATTAATGGCAGAACCAGAGGAGATAGTTTAGGTAGATTCACCTATTGCTCCAGATTAGGAGCCAGTGTAGTCGATTACTCAATTACAGACATTGACCCAAATTGTATTAATGCCTTTACAGTTATACCTCAACTTCCCATTTCTGACCACTGCCAAACAGTCCTTTACCTGAACCAGTCCTGTGACCGGGTCAGAACTCCCCTCAAACATGAACAACTCTTCCCTTTAAAACCAAAACCCAGCTTGAACCAATCTAACACTGAACAATTCAAAGAAAACATGAGCAGCTCTGCAATACTAAAAATGCTGGAGAGGAGATAGTTTAGGTAGATTCACCTATTGCTCCAGATTAGGAGCCAGTGTAGTCGATTACTCAATTACAGACATTGACCCAAATTGTATTAATGCCTTTACAGTTAGACCTCAACTTCCCATTTCTGACCACTGCCAAACAGTCCTTTACCTGAACCAGTCCTGTGACCGGGTCAGAACTCCCCTCAAACATGAACAACTCTTCCCTTTAAAACCAAAACCCAGCTTGAACCAATCTATCACTGAACAATTCAAAGAAAACATGAGCAGCTCTGCAATACTAAAAATGCTGGACGACTTTATGTCCACATATTTCACTCCAGATACTAACGGGATAAACTCAGCAACATCCAATCTAAATTATACGTTTCAAACTTTGGCCACTATATCTAACATTAAACAGAACAAACATAGAATAAACAAACGAAAAATAAAAAAGAATATGTGGTTTGATAATGAATGCAATTGTCTCAGAAAAGACCTTCGACGGCTTGCTAACAAAAAGCATAAAGAACCGGCCAATCAGACGCTACGGCTCGCCTACTCCAACTGTTTGAAAAATTATAAAAAGCTAATTTGCAACAAAAGAGATCAATATTATGAAGCTAAAATTGATGAAATCAATGAATCAATAGACCAAAACAATTTCTGGAATCTCTTTAAAAAATGCGAAAGCCCCAAATCAGACACATTCCTCCAGAGCGACACAGTCTGGAGGTCTTACTTTAAAACTCTTTACCAAAAACTAGAACCAGACCTCAACCAGCCCCAAACTAAAACAAAGAGAAAACTAGAAGATTTGAAGAAAACAATAAAAAAAATGACCCACTGGACATGATTATAACAACATCAGAAACAACAGAGCACATTAAACATCAGCATGTGGACAAGACAACATCAGCAATGAAATGCTCAAAATCAGCAGCCCTTACATGATTCAAGCTCTGGCAAAATTATTCAATCTGATCTTATCGTCTGGTGACTTCCCTGAGGCCTGGTCTGAAGGACTGATCACACCTATACACAAAAAAGGAGATACATTCGATCCCAGTAATTACCGCGGCATTAGTGTGGGCAGTAGCCTAGAAAAGCTTTTCTGCAATATAATAAACAGCCGCATAGTGACATTCCTCACAAGACACAACATCCTAAATAAATCACAAATTGGCTTTTTACCAAAACAACGTACATCCGACCACATCTATTCTCTCCACACTCTAATCAACAAGAATCTAAAGGGCAAACAAAGAAAAATATTTACATGTTTTATTGATTTAAAAAAACCTTTCGACTCTATTTGGCATGAAGGTTTACTATACAAATTATTACAAATTGGCATTGGTGGAAAAACATTTGATGTTATACAATCCATGTATAAAAACTAAATGTGCGAGAGAGAGAGAGAGAGAGAGAGAGAGAGAGAGAGAGAGAGATTGAGAGAGAGTGTGCGTGTGAGAGAGCTGCTGCCTCAGCCCGACTTTATTTAACATATATATCAATGAGCTGGCAGATCTACTGGACCAATCAAACAGTCCAGGACTACAATTATTCCACACAGAAGTCAAATATTTACTGTATGCAGACGACTTGCTAATTCTATCTAAAACACCAGAAGGTCTCCAGAACAACCTTGACATTTTAACTAAATACTGCCACGATTGGGCCTTAGACGTCAACATCCCAAAAACTAAGATTATGATATTTCAGAAGAAACCCAGAAATCTAGAACATAAACATTTATTTACTTTAAACAACACCACACTTCAACATGCTTTACATTATAATTATCTTGGTCTGGTTTTAACTCCCACTGGAAATTTCAAATTGGCAATTAAAACATTACTTACAAAAGCCCGCAGGGCACTGCATGCCATACGAATGAAATTATTCAAAATAAACATCCCCATCAGAATTTGGACAAAGATTTTTGATAGTGTCATACTGCCTATAGCTCTGTATGGAAGCGAGATCTGGGGCCCAGCGAGTAACTGCAGTCATAAGGACTGGCACAAACAGCCTTTAGAAGCTCTGCATGTAGAGTTCTGCAGAAGCATCCTTCATGTGCACAGAAACACACCTAATAACGCCTGCAGAGCCGAGTTAGGCCGGCTCCCCCTCAATCTAATCATTAAAAAAAGAGTTCTAAAGTTCTGGATCCACTTGAACTCTAGTTCGGAAGATTCTCTTCATTTTAAAGCACTAAAAACACAAAAAAGAAGTGCTCAAAAAAGTCATCTCTGTGTAATGGTGTCAGATCTGACTAACAAAGCACTCGATATCACCAACCCTGAAAAACACGGAAGAATCAAAGACATTATGAATGAAGAGAAGGAGACATACATACAGCA